TAAATTTTTAAAAAGCGTCTTTGCTTCAAATCCCCATAATAATTCAGCAAGCTCATCTTGCAGGTTGATGTCCACGTTTTCAATTTGAGCAGAAAATGGCACAATAATCCAATCAGGGATGTCAATGTTTTCCAAATCAACAAAACGCAGTTTAAAATCGTCGCTCAATTTTTGAAGATTACCTGTATATATTTCCAAGTCTTCTTCTTTTATTTCTAATTGTCACATATCTGAAAAATACTGATAATCCTTCGATCAATCGACCCTTCCGGTTCTGATCGACCCCCTGGCTCAGATCGACCGCCGCTTATGTTAAATAGACCCCTGGGGGTCTATATAGACCACTTTGGCGACCTCTGGTCCAATGCCTAACACAATAGAAGATGCCTACTAATCTTGTTAAAATAAGTGCGTAGTGAACACATTATGAAGCCACTTAGTTCCTTGCAGTTGGTATATACTTTAGCCAAAAGGGCCAATTTGTCAATCCCATGACCGCCGAATATTTCCCTAACTCCTAATTGCTCGAAATTATTAATATTTTTTACAAAATTCAGAAAATTTTAATTTTTGAATAGTTTTAAAAACAATAAAAATGCATCCTTTAAAAAGAATTTACTACAATTTTCGATTCAATTGTTTTCAGATACATGTGAAATTATTTTATAAACAGCCTTGTACAACTTTTTTATTGATTTATCGATATTAATGTAAGGCGTTAAAAATCGTCGCCCTATTTATCGAATCGCTATAAATTAATCTTTCATAACCACTCTTGTGTGTGTGCAAATGTATGTTATGAGCAAAACCCAAACAAACTACTTTAAAATTGAGCCGTGGTGGCTCAGGGGATAAAGCATTTGCTTTTCAATGAGCGAACCAGGTTCGATGCCCAGCGATGGCTGGTGGATACAAATTCCTACCCAGCTCGTATTGACCTCAGTGATAACATAAAATGTCCTCAGTGGTAGACGGATCATGGGTTAGGGTCCTCTTGCCGTCAGTCATACCGTGGGAGGTTTTCTTGGCTTTCCTCTCCACGTAACGCAAATGCGGGTTACATTCATCAAACAAATCCTCCACGAAGGCTAATTTTTTCCAATACTTGATCTAGAAGTTCCCTTGTCTTCAGGATTGGGTTCAAAACTACAAAACTAAGGAGTTGAAATTTAGTAGTCGCAAACCCAAAAAATCGAGTCGGCTGTTCAACGACGGTTATAAAAGCTACTGAAATAATACAAAATGTATAGAAGTTTTTTCTTTTAAAAACATTAACGGAAGTAAAAATATACAACGTAAATAAATGAAGAAGAAAAGAAACAACAATGATAACTTAGCCTACTGAATTTTAGCAGTACAATTAAAATATTTATGTATTACTTTATGGTTAAATTATGTTCTTATTCATTTATATTTACTTGTACGATAGATTTAAAAGCATAATTTTGGATTTTGAAATAAATTAAATATGATAATCTGGATTAATAAAATCTAAAATTTCATTTATATACTAAATAAAAAAATTTTAATTCCAAAAAATGATAGTAAACTTACCTATGAAATGTACAGGAGAAACGGAGGCTTAAAATTCTCACTCTCGCCTCGACTCGACAGCCATATGGTTTCACTATGAGGACAAGAATTATCGTCATGTGCGAGCTCTAATATTTAAACTATATGGGTTAACCACCTTTAATACTAATACTAGCATTCTCAATTTTTTCCATGCATTATTTACAATTGGGTATAATATAGCCTACGTCACAGGTTGCGTTGTTCCTACTAAATTTAACCCAATGAATGGCATTTTCTGCGAGCCTAACTTCAAGCCACAAATAAACAAACGAAGCGTTCGATCGTTTAAATAGCTGCTTGCCAGATTTTATTGTATTATAAAGAAAAGTTATTGAAACTAAATACAACTAAATAAACAACAACAACTAAAACAAATAACAACAACTACTAATAACAATAACTAAATAAACAACAACTAAATTCCATTCGTTTAGCATTGCGTCATATGTTGTTCCTACTAAATCGAAGTAGTTGTGTTTTTTTCATATTATACCCAATTGAAGAAAAAAAACAGACGATTTTTATTTAAAAATATCAGACGATTTCAAACGACTTATAATTAAGAGTTAAATTTTGCTCTATATTTATCGAATGGTTTGTAATAAACTTTTTCACTCCTCTTCTTTTCTTGTAAAAAAATTTTTTTACTATCTAAATTAATTCAAAGCAAGCTGCTGAAAATAAAAAATATTGGAGAATTTATTCTTTCAAAAGCATAAGGTGTAAAATTATCGAACGTAAATAAGAAAAGAATCAAGAATGTCGCCAAAAACTGAGCTTTACACTACTTTTTGGCTATAAATTTTTAAAAAAGAATTATTAATAATTCATTATTCTATAAAATCATTATTTTATTGCTGGATAAGTTGTATTCTTATTCGTTTATATTTACTTAATGGAAAGTCTTAAAAGCATTAATTTAGATTTTAACAGATGAACGTGCTAAAAAAGTTCATTAATACAGTAAATAAAACAATTGTTATTTCAAAAGGTGATAAATTATGATTAAATCCTTAATTTTATCTTTTAAATGAATAAGGTCTTCCTTTAACAATTTTTTTCAGCACAGCAAAATGCATCACAGTAAACCACCATAAGTTAAAATTTGTGATTTGTTTTTTGTGTGTGTGACTTGACATTGATATACATAAAATACTTCTATTGAAATAACAAGGGGAAACGGAAGGTAGAAAATTTCTCTCCCATCTTGTTCTCCAGTCACCTTCATTCTGGGAACAAGAGTTATCCAGCAGTGCGCACTCTATTTAATTCTCCCTTTATGGTTGCAGCTCTTAGTTTACCTTCAAAAATATATCGGGAATCTAGAATATGCTCTTATGTACTAAAAGATACGGTACTCCTACTCTAACAAATGATAAACTAATTTTCCAACACCTTTGAGACCACTTGTGTATTGAATTAGAACCGTTATAGATATTTATTTGAAAATAACCTTGGTCAAATTTTAATTAATCTATAAGAATTAATGAAGTAGGTGTTACTATAAAACCAAGTTTACAATCAGGAATTAAAATTCCTGTGTCGGCTCAAAGTTGATAAAAAGTACCAAATTGATAAAAAAATAAAAATAAAATAAAAATTTTTACGAAATATAATCTTTTAAACACGAAATTAATTATCTGAAAAAAATCTTAGATTCCAATCACGCAAATGGAAAAAGCAAATAGAAAATCTGTTTTTAGATAAAACTTACATAAAAGAGATCTCAGTGAGTGACGTGATTTGAAAGTCGAATTTATGCTAATGTATTAATGATCTTTAGTGTAAGAATTTGAGATTTAAATCTGCAAGTTACACTCGTTAAAAAAGAAAAAGAAAAAAAGAGATTATTTGGAAAGGTGTTTTTATTAAACATACTTACAATCCGTCATGAATTTCAATGTTATTTTTCATTTAAAAAGTTTTTGCATTTATTCACAATTTACATTTTATAATATGATAGATAGTAATTAAACAATCGTATGATATTCTTACTGCCATAATTATCAAATTATATAAAATAAATAACTTAATTAAATAAAATAAATTATTATTACTACTAATAATAAAATAATCATATATATGTAGCGTAAAAAGCTTCAACTAATCGTTATATGTTATTCATTTTATTATTCTAAACAAAACGCTCTTTTTTACACTTTTTAAATCACATCTTGTCTTTTAATCTATTTTTGGCTTTAAGTTATGCATTAATTAACATTTTTGATTTTCACCATCATGGAATCTTGGGAAAGACTTTTACCCTATAACCTATTTAATAGACCTATTATAATTATTAAGATTTCCCCTATTTCTAAAACGAAAGATTTTACGGATTTATTTTGCAAGATTTTCCTTAACTTTTAAATTGAGGAGCACTTCGAGTTTGTGTCACTTGAATTGTCTCTATTATGACGGGTAAATAAAATTAATTTGCGCTTTTAAAATCTTGTGCCTGTTTGTCCTGCTCGTACGACTGCCATCCTTAGAATATATATATAACATAAAAAGCTTTAACTAATCTTTTTATGTTATTCCTTTTCTGTAAATCTTTGTCTTATCAAATCGAAATGTTCTTTCTCACACTTTAAAATTCACCTCCTGTCTTTTAATCTACTTTTAGTTCAAGTATGCATTAATTACCATTTTGGTGATTATTCCTTTAACTAATTCGTGGGAAAGACTTTTTCCCTGGACCTATTTAACAGACCAATTATAATTACTAAGTTGTCCCGTATTCTCTAAAACGAAACATTTTACGGATTTAGTTTGCAAGATTTCCCCCCAACTTTTATTGAAGAGCACAGCGATTTTGTGTCAGTTTGATGATTGTTCTCAGTGTAATAATTATTAAATAAATTTTGTGCCCTCTTTCCCTGCCTAAGACCTGTTTTTGTCCTTTCACTCGGCAACAACGTTTTTTACAGTTATAATGATATCAGTCATGTATCTCCTTCCTTCTTGTACTTGTGGTACTACATTCCCATGATGTTTCTGACCGTGAGTTGCTATGGAATTCCGAACCCCTGTGATGTCCCCTACCTCCCTTTAAACTTTGTCTCAATAATCCTGGAACACCCTGTATAAAAGCAATTATATATATAATTATATACATAATTATTTATATCTAATACCAAATTATAGCAGAGAAATCTCTGCAAATAATCACTTGTAAGACTCAAATGTATTACTCAAAATTACTGAGTACTTCTTCTAGAAGAAAGTACATACGCAAATAATTTTCAATATAACAATATCATATTATTAAATTTGTAAACCATAATTTGAATCAATTAAATGACTTGATTTTTCATTCTATTCTTTATATCTGATTTAAATAGCGATGTTTAACAATTAATTATTAAATTTAGAGACATTTATTGCAGGCTTATTATTTATTGTTTCTAGGGAGAACATATTGTAAGACCTCAAAAGGTTTTGTCATTTATTAAAGAAGAAGGTGAAAATATTGCACTCATATATTTAGAAGGTGTTCATTACTACACTGGTCAACTTTTCGACATGAAAGCAATAACCAAAGCGGGACATGAACAGGTATGGATATATTGATTATATTATTGATTATATTAGTAATTATAATTGAATCCCGCACATACGACGCCCGTTTTTCTGTCTAATTCCGTTACCTAACTTCCACCGAATTTAAAAAATTTGTAGGAAATTTATTAAACTTTTATTATAATACGGTATAAATTTTTAGTTCTGTCAGAAAATGTAGGCCTTGTTATGGAGCCCATTCCCTAATCCTTATATAGTCTTTAAGTGGAAGTCATACAATTCAGTGAAATCACGTGAATATAAATCGTGATGCAGCATTAAAAATGATATCAAAAGCTTGTTTTGTTAAGTGTTTAGAAATTGCAATTTAACGTCGCAATTACACAATTATCAAAATAAAGTGAGAATAACGAAGAAATTACGATATAACGCTGTGATAAAGCTTTAAATGTTTATTGATTTTTACTCTTATCTTTCTCTCTTTATTAACTTTTGTAAGCTCGTTATAACGAGGCATTCTTTCTCGTTATAACGTATACCGTATTTCGTTATGAACGATGCTATTTTCTTTTCTTACTATTTTTAATTGAAAATTCAAGCGTAAACTATCAATCAGCGGTGGCTTAGGGAATAGGGTGTTCACCTCCCTAAGAGGTAACCAAGGATCGAATCCCAGCGGTGGCTGTTTGATGCGAATTCTGCTTACGGCTTGCTCCGACCACAGTGCTTAAAATGTTCTAGTAGTAGATAGATCATGGGTTAGAATATCCCCTCATCGTCAGGTTAACCGTAGGAGGTTTTCTTCTCCGTGTGACTCTAAATATGGGTTAGTTCCATCATTAAAGTCCTCTACTAAGGCTAGTTTGTACTTTGTCTTCTGGATTGGGTTCAAAATTATATGGTCATTGATAATCGTAACAAACATCGGTTGAACATTGATAGTCGTAAACTCAGAATTGGCTCGGCTGTTCTACGCCAGTTATAAAAAAAAAAATTAAGAATATTAAAAGTATATTAGGAAAAATCCTTAAAACAAATACTATGTTAATTTTTTTTCAATTGAAAAAAAAAACAGTGCTTGCCTTGAAACTATTAATTTAAACTAAAAATTACTATTTGCTCATTTTAATTACATGAACGATATTATACAGGGTGATTCTAAAAAGATGGGCAAAATTTTAAGAAGTGATAGTACACACACAAGCAAACAATTTTTATCAAAGAATGCATGGTCGAAAACAAAACGCAAAGGTGCTGGCGCATTTGGAAATTTGTTTGATGCAAACATGAAAGCTCCATTCCTGTTGCGAGTTACTGCGCTGCGTTATTTTGTCGCCAAGCTTTCGGCCGCTGCAGGGCCGCTGGTGTATTTCAGAATGTTCGCCTATCTTTTCTTCGCCGTTGTACTGCCTGCATAGCCGCTGCTGGCCACTGTTTTGAACACTTATTGTAATCACATGCCATTAAATTTGCTTTCATAACTTAACTTCATCGTCCTTTGAGTGTTTTTGCCTCATATAAGAACATAAACTTAGACGCCCTCTAGCGGTTTTGCGTTTTGTTTTCGACCATGCATTCTTTGATAAAAATTGTTTGCTTGGGTGTGTACTATCACTTCCTAAAATTTTGCCCACCTTTTTAGACTCACCCTGTATGTTACTAATTATGCATGAAAAAAAACAATAATAATACTTAAAAGTTGTATTTTTTTCGCTCTATTTAGGGTTGTATGGTAGGTTTCGATTTAGCCCATGCTGTCGGAAATGTAAAACTCAAACTTCATGAATGGAATATTGATTTCGCTGTATGGTGCTCATATAAAGTAAGTGGTTTAAACTTATTTCAAAATAATATTTATGAAAAATATTTTTTTATGTTTATTTATCCTTTTTCATTGGGAAATTTCATAACAATAAAAAAAAATAAATTTAAAGGTGTAAGCAAATATTTACATAGTTTTAAACTGTGCAATCTTAACAACAAAATCCAAACTTAAAACGGTATTGAATTCATAAGAAACAAAAATTTTAGAACGTGACTTTCTTGAAATTTTTTAAACATAAAATCTTAAATATCAAATAATTTTTTCAATTAATATTTTCCATGCAATAATTTTTAGATAAACAAATTTTAAAATTGTTTTCAAATTTTTTAGAAAATATTACACCGCCTGTTGAGGCACTCTAAAACTAATTTTTGAATGTGCTGAAACTAGGCCAGACCAGTTCACAAGCTGTTACAATTTTATAAAATGTAAAATTGATAAACTTAGATAAATTATTCATTATAAACAAATAGATTGGTGTATATGAGTGACTTTCAATAAATTAAAATTTTGATTTCAGAATCACAATTATCACTACAAAAATCTTAATCAGAAACAATTTGTTCAAAATTCTTTTTAATCCAGCAAAACTATAAAATTACCCGATTTATTTATTCTAATTTCGTTCATTGCCTGAACAGCAGAGATTCGTTTACGTTTTATACCTTCCCTATTACTAAACATAAAGTGGGAACTTATAGACGCATTCCCCGTGAAAAAACTTCACTCCCTTTTAGGGAAGATTTTTCGTACGTCCTAAACAGAACGCAGCAATCCGTACATTTCTATCTAATTCCTCCTTTTTTTTTCCAGTTGTTTTTTTTACAAATCGTCGATCAATTTTGGTCACATAGTAAATTTTTGATATCTTATTTATGTAAATAAAAATTCTTGTCTTTTTTATAGTATCTCAATAGTGGTGCTGGGAATATGGGAGCAATATTTTGCCATAGCAAACACACACAGGGTGCTAATCAAATAATGCCAGCATTAAGAGGATGGTGGGGACTTGATTTCAAGAGAAAGTTTACTTTTGATAAAGGTGAGTTGGAGCTGAAATTCAGACATATATTTTAAATTTACAGAGGTCGATGCATAGACATTTGTAATCCCAGTCTTATATTTGCTTTTTATTTGAATAATAATTCAAATCTCGATTACTAGATTGTTTAATCTCTTATTTGCAAATAGTAGATGAGCTGAAACAAAATTTAATTTTTTTTTTTATTTAATAACCGTCGTTGAACAGCCGACCCAATTTTCGGATTTAAGAATACTAACGTTCAAATACGTAGACTTGTAATTTTGCGCCCAATCCAGAAGACAAAGGAACTCCTGTATCAAGTATTGGGAGAAATTTGCCTTCGTGGAGTACTTCTTGATGGAACTAACCCGCATTTGCGCTACATGGAGAAGAAGACAACGAGAACCTCCCACGGTTAACCAGACCGCAAGGGGACTCTAACCCATGATCCGTCCAGGATATTTCAAGTCAGCACTGGGGTCGGTGCAAGCCGGTATCGGAATTCGTGTCGACCAACCTTTGCCGGGATTCGAACCCAGTTCACCTTATTGGAAGGCGGACGCTCTATCCCCTGACCCATCAAGGCTCAAAGTTTAACGATTAAATGAAACAAATGAACAATAACAATTAAATGAAACAAAATTTTTACAAAATTTCAAAATACAAAATTTCCATACCTTTTTTTATGCAAGTACAAAATTATTTTGGCAATAAGTTAATCAGAAAAATCAATAAGTTAATTTCTCTAAAAAAGAGGTAAATGTCCGCCTCTGAATTTTTTCGCCAAAACAATGACGCACACAAGGAGCTGCGCCAAGCCTGACAGAGCCTAGTCCCCCCTTAGCTCGTCTTCCAATAGGCTCGTGTCGTGACTTGTTACCCGAAAGAAAGGAAATAGATGCCTAGGCCTAACGAGTAGGCTTACATGGTATCGTTTTACTAGTCTGTTAGAAGGCACGTGCCCGCAGAAATCCAACGCCCCCCTCTTTTGCGCCCTTCTGAAACCTAAAGCCCTAATTTTTAGCCAAACAAGTCTTGTTAAAAACGATGCCTTTTAAAATCCTCGCTGCCATCTTTAGCTTCTGTTTTCAAATTCCCTTATTTTTATACTTTTATCTGAATTTGAAAGTTTTAGGTACTTAAATAGGGACAATGCTTTCTTCTAAGCGTCTTTTATTTCATTCTCTTTTAAGTTTAGTTTTATCTGAAAGAAAAATTAAAAACTGTTCCTCCATATCAATACAAATAAAGAAAATTATTTTGTTCATTCAGTTAATCGATAGTGATCTTTTCTTAAGCGATAATCTTTTTACTTAATTTGAACAACAATACAGATTATGCTATTTAAAAATTTTGTAATATAAAGGATTTGCTAGTAATTAAAATATTGATTAAAAAATCGGTTAAAATAATGTTTTTTTTTTTAATGTAAAATTTTTATTTATTTAATCGTTCCTTTTTGGAATTAAAAAGGTAATTTTTTGAATAATTTGTTTTCATAATTTTTACAAGCTAAAACTTGGTTTATATAAGTTTTCTATAAGCTGGGAAATTATCATCATCTTCAACCATTGTCAATTCATTGCTTTCTCCATACTGAACCAATACTTATTTTGTAACCCATTCACACCTGCCGCTTAGGTTTTGAGGCAAAATCTCTTCTCCAAAATTTCGTCAGACAAAATCTCAGTTCGCAATATCACCTTAACAAAATCTCTAAATATCGTCTCTACAAAATCTAGAGAAGTCAAAATCCCGTGAAGACGAAATCTCGCGTGGACACAATATCACATATACTGATTATAATTAATTTTGGAGCATGACATCTCCACAAAAAAAAATCGTCTTTCTTGGGCTAGGACCGAAGTTGGCGTGATTAGTATTTATTCTTTCAAATTTTCGAAATTTTTTCTTAAAGTTTTGGGAGTCAAAATTGAAGATCTTCTGGAATTTTGAGAAACGTACATCTCTTTAAAAGCGGCAATTCATTTCGTGAACAAATGCATTGATCATTATTTTGTGTTCTACTACTTTCACATTAACTATAAGGATATAAATACTTTCAGTGGACTTTTGTATCGAAGACTAAGGGTTTTCCAAAAATCTTTGGGGAAAAAAAGCGGTTATCTTAGGCTTTGATCTCAAATTTACATGCGCCAACAGTGAACCTCATAAGTATATACTCACTTGCACTTTTCTTAACTAGGTAGAATGTTTTTACTAAATTTAACAGCTTATATTTAAAAAAGAAACTAACACTGCAAAAAATTCGGTATCAAATTACCGTAAAAAGTACCAGCACTCAGAATGGCGAGAATTTTTACTTCAACAGGTTACGTAATAAAAAATCTGATATTCCGTAATTTTTATAGTAATAAATACCAGTAAAATCGCGAAATCACTTTAATTAAATATTACTATAAAGACATCGATTTAATATTTTACGGAAAAAATAGATTTGAAATACCCAAAGTGCCGTTACTTTATACCGTAATTTGATCCCGAATTTTCGACTGTATAGTTAATATAGTTTTTTAAACTTAAATTCATAGAAAGTCTCTTTTTTTAATACGTAGAATTCACCGCTGCAGCAGGAGCTGATAGATTCAGATTAAGTAATCCATCACCCATTCTTTGTGCAATGATTTCAAACAGTTTAAATGTAAGTAAATTCAGCTCCAATATTTTTTTTTTAAATTAAAACAATTCACTTTGTATTACTTGATCAAAAATTTCATTCGCTTCGAAAATATACAAATTGGAAATACAGTCGACATATTTCAAGAGCTCAAAAACAGGCGTACAATTTCAAGACTTGTCAGAGATGAATGAGAAGATACAAAAGTGATTTGAATTATAAAACGTTAAGTTGCCAACAAAAAATGGAAAAAATAAAGGTGAGAAACAAAACTAGAAAAATCACAGAAGCGAAGTGGCCGAGAGGGCAAAATGCATTTCCACGCGCTTTAGAGAGGTAATGAGGAACAAATTTCGTTAACAAAGGGAATCAGAATTCATATGAATAAAACAAGATTCCAGGGCACCAAGATAAGCTCATTCACATCAACCAAGTCTTGAAAATGGGCGCTTATTTTTGAGTGCTTGAAACATGTCGACTGTTATTTCCACTTTTCATATATCTAAAGCGAATGACGTTTTTAACCAAGTAAAATCTTACCGCGTCAATTTCTTGGAATTGTTTATTTAATGCAATCTGTAACTTCATGTTCTGTAGGTGTTTAATAAGGTGGGCATGGATAAAATACAAGCGAAGCAGAGACTAATCACTGGATATTTAGAATACTTGCTGAGGAAACTTCTGATGATGTCAAGTTTGAAAAATTCTGAGTCAGCTCAAATACAAATTATAACTCCTAGAGATCCAAAAGAAAGAGGAAGCCAAATAAGCCTCTTGTCATCAATACCCATCTCTCAGTGTGAAGAACTTCTCAAGTCGCATGGAATTGTTGTGAGTATCTAATTCGTTTCTTTTATCATCATTGAAGAACTTTGTGTAGGAACACGTAAAGGGATACCTTCAGTTTTTATTAGACTTAAGTGTCTCTTATCATAGAATTTATTCCTTCAACATTCTAAAAACGACAATTTTCAATAGGATATAAGTTTTGTAAGCCGCTTCCTGATGTTTCGTTATATTTAGAAGTTGATTTTGTTTTTAAAAAATGTCACCACAAATTTTTCAACTAAGCTGTTCTATTTTGGCCAGATAGAATCATTTGCCAGACAAATTAGATGTCCAACTCTGTTTCCCGACAACATATTTTTCCGACATATCGAGAAAATGAGCTATCGAGCAAACGTGCCTGCCAGACAAATGAATTGTCAGATTAACGGAGTCGGGCAATCCAGATGTCGGGTAACCGAGTGTCTGAAAAATGTACCGGACCCATTTTGATTTAATCCTTTGACTACTAACGGGACTCATTTGTCCCAACAAATGTTTAAAAATTACTAATAGACATATGTATCCCACCATTAAGTACGGCCGAGACATATATGTCCCAACCTCTAAATTGATAACCGCTTGTCAGAAAAATCCGAAATACTTAATTTGCCTTATTTGTGACCTATTTTGTTCTTTTGAATAATATACGGGACAAAAAAAAAATCATTTTTTAAAATTCGTAGTCAAAGGGTTAATGAGTGAAACCTGTTAAGTTGGCCTTAATCAGGTACATAATAATTTCTGTATAATTAAATGGTAATCTGGTTAATCGATCTAGTTTGACTGAGAAAAAGAGGGAAAAAATGCAAACAAAAATGAGGCAGATTATTGGGTATTTAAAATATTTATAATGCCGCTACACAATGCATTTCAACTGTTTGATATCAGTATTCCACTGACACCACTAGCTTCTATTTTGGGGAGTGGAGAGTTTTTAATTACCAAATAAAATACCAATTCGAATGAAAACAGCATTAAACTGTTTAATTTTTTATCTCCCTTGAACAAAAAAAGTAATAGCATTCTTCAAAATTTTAAATTTAGTAAAGATTCAAGTTGACTTAAAAAGAGAAAAGTAAAGTATTATAACTTTAAAAGCAATTGACAAAATTTGCACCTTCAAAATAAAAAAAGTACACTTTTAAAGTGAATCTGTTGAAAGGGTGGAAGGTGAACTGTTTATTATTTGTTTATTTGATATCAATGTAGGGCTTGCAGTTGCAAACAGCTTTCTTAATACGTGAACACTTTCGAAGTTTAAAGATAACATTTAAGAACTACTTTCCAACTGTAAGGTCTTAAATGTATGGTCAAAATGTTTTCAGTTTTAACAAAGCCAACCATGCTATGAGAAAAATATTATAAGGACATTACTTCAAACTCCATTTTGATATGTACACCTCCTACGTTGACACGTACCTCCCTTTTTGGTATTTCTGGAAAAAAGAAAGAAAAAAAACCTTTTAATCTCTTGTTGAAAAAGCCAAAACGTGTTCTTCCATTTGCCACATCAAATCTATGGGGTTTTAATTTATTCTGCCACAAAAATTAGGTACGAAATGAATAATTAATGTCTTAATTATTCATTTCGAATTTTGATTGCTATGCTACTTATTCATTTCGTTTAGCTCAATTTGAATTTTGTATTCCGAATTATTTGAATTGAGTAAGTCGGCTATTTACCTAATGTTTATTTTTATATTAGCCCCCTCCACCACTTAAAATATATTAAATTAATTTATTTACTACAAATTACAAGTATCGAAATGTTTGAATATCAATAGTCCACGCTGAATATTGTTCGGTGAATGGGATCTCTAAAATGTTTGGGAAACATTGTAATTGACTGTCATGCTGACGATGATGAGAAAACCTCGTAAAATGGATTTACTGAGAAACAATGAGAGCCTTGCATTTTTAGGCATAATTTACCTACTTAAAGAATATTTTTTTATTTAAAAAAAAAGTTAAGTTTCTCAAGTTAAGGTTTTCGGCTCAACGTAAATGCGTAACTTTAGTGATCTTGCCATTTCAGAACTGTAAAGATTCTAAGAACTTTTTTAACTAACTGAAATATTGATATTTGTCTTAATAGTTTCTTGTAAAATATCACTTTTAAAAAAGAACATTTTTAATAGACTTATGATGTCATTAATAAAAATATGATTTAATTTTATGAAAATTCTAATAAGACAACCGTAAAGAAATTTTAAAGAAGAGTTTAATTATTAGGAAGTGAAAATGATAATGAAAATTCAAATTTTAATAATTTTCCTTATAACTAAAAAAATTTGACATCTGAAGGAAAATATAACAAAACGAATCTAGATAAGTTCAATTGTAAGTGCATTTTTTTTACAGTGAAAAAAATTTTCAGACCGAACATTTTAAACCATAATATCTGCGTACATTAGCAGAAATCTATAACTTTCCAGCAAATTAAACTTACCTTAATCACATAACAAAATTTATCACAATCAATACTTTTAACGCGTAAATAGTTCAGCATAGAAACTTGTTTAGACCATAAGAAAGTTAAGTAAGGGTATTGCATTTTTAATGTTAGTATTACTTTATTGAGAATTTTGTAATCTAATATTCTTTCGTATCTTCTTTGAAATTCACACTAGGAATCATTTCTTCTGTTGCCGAAGATTTTTTTACGGATTTTAAATATTTCCACGTTACTGATTTCAAATTTGCAATCGGTTTCTCTAACCAAGTTACGGTTTTTCTTAATGACATCTTTAGTCTATTTTTTGACGAAATGTGTAAATTTAAAATCGCTATATATAACAGGAGATTTCATAACTGTTGCGACAAATTTATACAAGAGTTAGGGCACATCAGGATTAAAATTACATGGGAACACATGCCCGAAAATGTCGTCATACGCCGCTAGGACGCTTTTATATAATAAACTGTTTCTTTGTGTACTTCTGAACAAGTCATAAAAAAGAAGCGTCTTTTGCCGCATACAATGACATTTCTGGGCATGAGTTGCTGTGCAACTTTAATCCTGATCATGCGTCCAAACTCCCCTGGAAGTTTGTCTAAACATTTATACAACTCCTAGCTATACAGAAAGTTTTTAAACTTGTACATTTCGACAAAAAATAGACTAAAAATGTCATTTTCAAAACAATCTGTAGAATTTAATCAAAACTAATTTCAGTTTTGAAATCCCCATAAACATATTAGGCAAGATCAAGTATTTATATAAATGCAACAAAAAGTAATTAATTATCCAAAGTAACTAGTAAATTCATTAGTGATGTGATTAGTAAAATGCAGAATTAAATTTCAATAAGTAAATTTTCAATGTTTTTTTTTCTTGACTTCCATATTAAAATTTTCAGTGTGACATTCGATCTCCATCTGTCTTAAGAGTAACTCCAGCACCACTTTATAATACATTCACCGAGGTCTACAAATTTGCTCATTTTTTCAAAGATGCTTGGGAAACTATACAATCCAATGAAAGTAAGTATGGAAATTTAATTATATTAGTTATGCTCCACGCATCACTATTTAGTTTATCCGACATTCTAACTGGTTTTGATGCTCTTAATTTTACCTTCACTGCGATTCACTTTGAAGAATAAACAATTTTAAAATTAATTTCATCGATTTCCAACTTTAATTCGATACGCTTTTTTTTATTCAAATTTTATAAAGATCTCAATGAAAATTGAAAAGTTGTTTTCTTTCTAATAACACTTAGACTAGCCAACAACTGCCCTTAGCGAATTAAGTCAGGAAGGTGCGTCTTTCGTTTGTCAAATGAGCACCACTAGGGTGAAAGTAATCCTTAGCTCCCTACGGATAGATAGCTATGGATAATCCTTAGCTTAATCCCTACGGATAGATAGCAGCTCCTTCGCGAGATCACTTTTTCAATTTAGACATAGAAGAGGAGGGAAATTTTGTCTAGATCTCTGTATTCATGATACCTTTCAGCAAACCAACCACATAAGTTTCAATTCCACAGATTTTGCCAGCTCGTATACCGCATGTACTCGATGCGTCTCAGCAGAGTCCGATTCTCTCACCACCTGACTACCACGGCCCTATTGGAAGCTGCTAGAGCTCTGTTCGGATGTTATACCCCATTCACCATATTCACAAAGCCTCGTAAGCTATTCCGTATTGGAGAGAAAAAATTTAATAGAAAATCTTCAACTCTATGGTTGAAATAACAAATCGCGTAGAAAAAAATTTTGGGGAAAAAACTAAGAGTTTCAGGACAGACATAATTTATAAATTACTTATAAAAAAAATTTGTGGAATAGAATTTTAAAATTAAATAAATGCTCGTTGAAACATAACTTCATTTAACTCCTTCTTTTCTTGAAATTGTCTGTAGATTATACTGATTATTATGCGAAAATTTCTGCTTTATTTTTTCAAGCATTCTAAAATATACTTTGGTAGTGATTACAAAATTTCGAGAGTACTTTTAAGTTCATTTTCTATTCATGTCCAATTTTTGTCTCATTTTTTTAGGTCGAGAAAAGTGAATGCAAAAGAAATATGAGAGAAATTGATGGATTTTAATATTTGTATATATTACTGTGCGTATCCAAAACCAAAATTAATATTTTTTTGCTGAGCAATAAAATGTGAATGACTATTGTTGGAAGCCAAATGTATAGAATGTTTCTCAGAAAGAAAGTTTAGCAGAAAATCGATACACAGGGTATACATATATTTTTGTGATGCTAAATTAATATGCTTCTGTTATTATTTGGGTATTGCACTTCACAATGTATTTTTATATATATATTTTTGTAAATAAAGATTTTTTTAAAAAAATTCAAACTATTGTTTTATTTATTTTAAAATTTATTTACATTAAACCTTGAACGTTAACTTTGTTTGAAATATTAAGTCTAGAAAATGTACTAAACATAGATTGTAAACTGTAACTTCATATCATCATACTTTTATAGAAACCATGTCTAACAAAGGACACGTTAACTGCCAAGCCACGAGCCATTTAACAAAAAAACTCATTTTTTATATCAAAGAGATTTCGCAAATTTACGTTAGATTCCATACGTACATAAGAATTAAAGCACTCGCATTTTTTTTTCAGATCCTAAGTTATTTTACGTTTTGTTGGTGTGGTTTAACAGAGCTTCAAGAGTGCTGTTCATCGCAGTTGACTGTTGTTTTCTGTTTAAGCCTACATTTGATTGAACAACAGAGACATGTTACAAATAGATCAATAAGAACACCAATACAAAATGAAAATGGAGAATTCGTTATAAACAATATGCTAAATTGAATCGTGAGATTTTACAAGTGGTTGATTTAATAGAAAGATAAATTTTATTGGTTTTAATTCTAAATTATGGTAATCTAATTGCACACGCTCATTAGAAAATAATTTCTTTTTCGCTATTTAAAATCATAAAATATATTACTATACAATTTAGTTGGAAATTAAACTTCAATAATATCCATTGTAAATGTTTGTTTAGATTTTGTGGACGAAGTTAAGATGATATTCCGCTACTTTTGTGTGTTTAACTTTCAGGTTTTTGCTAAATCTCTTATTTTAATTCCCGTAAGTTTCATTTTTTTTCCACCTGTGCATGCGCATTTCATCCGAATTGACGCATTAGAATTTCAAGTTCGCATGCACAGTTACCTCAATTCTTATGTACGAAAACCTATGGAATGTAATGTATGTAAAGTGAATATCTAATAAATAGAGTGATTAAAGTGCGAAATCACCCTATTAATTAGACATTCACTTTTACTACACGTATGAAGCGAGAGAGAAAAAAACAGATCATCTGAATAATTTAATGATGATTTGATTTTCAATTGCTTTAATAAGGACAAGGACAAGAAATTAAGAACCTTAGGCATGATAATATTAGCGCTAACAATTTTCATTCTGAATAAAAGACCGAATTCTGTGGCTATTTTTGAAAATGAATAGGGAGTGGAGCCTCGTGGTTAATCAATATAATATTGGGATGATATGAAATAATAGTATATCTAAGCAAAAGTTAAACAAAAAATGACGGACATTTTTAATAATTTTTATAAACTCTCTTTCGTATTGGTGAAAGCAGAATCTTCCATTTACAAGCTGCGTAGCGTTTTTAAAGAGTGCTTATTTTCGATTTTCGCTCTTAAAAGCCCTTAAAGGTGCTTTTTTCATTGGCTGTTTTTAAAAAGTGCTTAATTTCCCTTTTCGAAAATGAGATTTTTCCTTAACCAAGTTGATTTTCGCTACGAAGTATGCAAAAAGACACTGTTCACATTGTTCTATTCAACGTTTTCGCAATTAATTCAACCCCAATCTATTTCGGCGTATTGTCAGATCATAGCGTATGAAAACGTCATTCGTTTTACATGACTCAAAATTTCATGATTTTTGACGATTGTAGAAAACAATTCAAAAAAAAAATTTTTTTTTTTTGCATGACAGTTAAGACAAGATGAAACCGTCAATTGTCAAAACCTTTTAGACCCTGCCTAGTTATATATGTATTTTTTAGTGCTTGAGAAGTGCTTATTTTTTGTTGTATAATTTGGAATTTCGACTAATTTCCAACGATGTAGAGCACTCAAATCTCTAAAAACGTTTCTTCTCTCAAAATTCTATAATATATACATTAAGACTTTGAAAGAGCACTCTTTAAATGGAGCTCTGCAATGAATGGCAATACATATTTCAACAGTTTCTTGCTTGAAACAAAATTTAACGTATGAGAATCTTATCGTCAATCAAAATTCCGACTTCTTTGAGATTAACTAGAACACTAAAATTTAGTGTGCTGGAATTCATCCCAAACTTCGTAATTCTGTGTTTTGGTTTCAGTGATTTACAAACAGCTAATTACAGAATTTATCATTGTATTGTCACTAAACCGAATTAGTTTCAATCAAAATTCTGACTATTTTTTGAAGAGCTATGGAACTCAAATTTTAAAATGGGCTCTGGTCTGAATGACAATAAAATATTAAATCGTTTATTCACAGCTAAAAGTAGAACTTGTCGCTATATTATCGACAATGAGAGATTATTGTCAACCAAAATTTTTATCGCTTGCTGACTAGCATGAAATTTTAACAGGACCACAGTGTTGTATAACAATACACATTTTAATCATTCCATGCCGATTATAAGCAGAACTTATAGCGCAGTTTCATCATCAAAATTTTAACTATCATTGATTGATATTCCGACAACTTTCCTACTATCTAGAATTTTTAAATTTTAACTGGAGCACAGTGCTGGATGACAATACAATTTTCAGTAGCTATTTGACCTACTTTACAACCAGAATTTACGACACCATTTTATCAATCTTATTAATTATCGTCATTCGAAATTTCGACCACTCTCCGAGTTGTCAGAGTGCACTAATTTTAACTTAAACTTTGTGACTAATGTCAACAAGAATTACAATTATTTGTGTTGACATCAGTAGTATTTTCTAAAAATATTTATTATCAATCGAAATTGTAAACGCTTTAAATCATAAATATAATTCCAGAAACAATGCTAGAAGAAAATAATAAAATGAAATAAAGATTTTGCGAGCTACTTTCTCAAATGGACTAAAAAGGTGAAAACAATTCTATTTTTGTCAAATGAAAAAGGTAGGGTTCGTATTCAACTTCGATCACCACCAAGAACCCCCCCCCCCCAAACAAANCAAGACCCCCCCCCCCCAACAAAAAAAAATCCCTCAAAAGTAATCCGCCATAATTTCTTTTATTATCTGGCAAGAATTTAATTACTTTCGCTTTTAGTCCACCTGAAAAATGCAATTATTAAAAATTGCAGTTAGTTTCTTACGTATTTTTTATATTTTGCATGAATAATCTCTAGACTGAAACAAAAACGATTGCCTATAGTCTGAGATCTGAAGGGTTAAATACAGTGGCGTAGTTTTGGAGACAAAACCCCCTCCGAAATTATATATACACTGCTGGACAATTGCTAAGGACGGATAACACTGTCATCCATAGCAACCATAAAATTAAAGGAAGCAAAATGTGGACAATTAGAATAAGTGCGGGATATAGTAAGAAGAGGTATGCGTATGAAATTTTTTTTCCACGTCTGTTCATCACGTGATAGCGCTGATAAAAGCTTTAAAGGTTTTGACGTGTGTGGAGAGTTGTTGTTCCAAGTCAAAGTTTTACAGGAAAGATTAAGTTGACGAACTTGAAATTTTCGTCATGTTTTCTCGATATCACTTAGATGATTTTAAGCGTGGCCGAATTATTGGAAAGTGTGGAAATAAGTAATTTCCAGTTATAAACTTTAGTGTTTGAGTTTATTTTTTTAGATTCGTTTCCAGGAAGGAAGTGAAGGGAATTCAAGAAACAAGCATTCAATCAATGTGACGTACGAAATCGTTATCTATAAAAGAACGAACAATCTCTTCTTTCATGCCGGTGGAGAGGGATGAGCCGCCAACTCATCTTTTAAGTCTTTGGCCGATTGTATGATGATCTGATATCTATATTTGTATATTCAATTAGAATTTTAGATTTAAGTTAACCATTGAAAGTAATAATAAATGTGTTCCAGTTTATTTGTGTACGTCATGATTTTTAGCAAACTCTGCTTTGTGAGTTAAATCCACAGAAAGATCAAAGAAGGGCGAAAAATAACAGATGTTGCCAGGGAGTTCGACATCGCTCTCAGCGTTGTTTCACGGCTGTGGAAATCATTTAAAACTACTGGAATGTGTAGTAGACCGCACGGAGGAGGTCGTGTTAGAAGTACGACGCCTGCAGAAGACAGATACATCGTCCTATCAGCAAAAAGGAACAAGCGCACCACAGCTCAGCAGGTGGCAAATCAATTTCTTGCTGCCACAGGAAAGCAGATCTCCCGAAAAACTGTTGCCAGACGTTTGAGGGGAGGAGGACTATACACCCGCAGACCTGTTGTGTGCGTCCCATTGACCAGACAGCACCGTACTGCACGTTTGCAATGGTGTCGTGAGCATCACAATTGGACTGAACAGGACTGGGCATGCGTACTATTCTCAGATGAGAGTAGGTTCAGTCTGTCATCGGATTGTAGACGCCAACTGATCTGGCGCGAGAGTGGTACTGGTTATCGTCCAGAAAATATCCAGGAAAGGGACCGATATCCGACATGCAGTGTCATGGTGTGGGCCGGCATCATGATCAATGGCCGCACGCGCCTACATGTGGTTGCGAATGGGACTATGACGGGCCAACGATACATTGATGAAGTTCTACTTCCTCATGTTCGTCTTTTCCGTGGTGCTGTCGGTGATAAATTTGTTTTTATGGACGACAACGCAACATGTCATCGAACACTCGCTGTTCAGGATTGTCTAGACAGCGAGGGTATTCAACGCCTCGTATGGCCATCACGTTCTCCAGATCTAAACCCCATTGAAAATGTTTGGGATGCTTTGGGGAGGCAACTTGCTGGTCGAAACTATCCTCCGACAAACAAGAACACCCTCATCCGTGCACTGACAGAGGAATGGGATAAATTGCCTCAACAGCTGCTGGATAATGTTGTGCAAAGTATGATACGACGTGTAGAATGTTGCATCACACTCCACGGTGGACATATCCCGTACTGACACCTTTCTTCAAGTTGCCTGCTGACATTTAGATGCATTGTTCCATTTTTCCGTACGCAGCATCAAATGAACATTTTTTTTCTTTCAGATGTTTCATAGCTTTTGTACTTTCCAGAACAATGGATATTCTTTATTCTAATGTCTGAACAGTGTGGCAACTATATTTTATCCTACTAGGCCTCATGTCTCGCTTAATGTTATGCTACATTGCAATTT